TGATACTTCGGAATGTGTTTCAGTTAACTAGTTTTTTGGAACTAAAGTTCATACCGACACACGTAAATCAGTGCAAGCAAGGGGAAATTCGATTGTCCTTTATAGTGAGCGTTACCCATATTAAGTTGTTATTCTAGTTTGTATGGTGCATCTAATGTACCGTTAATCTAGCGCTTCACCGATGCGCATTTCACTCGGCTCACTTGTGTGCAGACCGAAACTGCAATTCCCTCCACTAACAAACAAGCTTGTGCATTTTCACTGGTCATAAACCACTGCTATTCCAATGATGTCAGCTCGATGAGTGACCAAACACTTGGATCAAAATACTAACCTCGGTGAACACCATGTGAATAAACACACTACCCGAAATATCAGCTGCCAAGTTTATTTCTGAAACAGCCGGGAACATGGAACACACCAGCCGCAAGACAACTCCGTCCAACCAGCACGTCCACGACCAGACACGAGGTCAGAAAATCGAAAAGAATCGATCGCCCCCGAGTATTTGAATAAAACTCACACTGCTTTGTGTCTGCAGATTGCAGCCCAATATACAATTGCTGATTTCGATACTACCTTATTGGCAGATGATCGGAGTTACTCTTGCAGTTAGATAAGACACCAGCACTGCGTATCACTTTAGGCCATTGGTCCCTGGCAGTGCAAATGGACCCAGTTGCCATAGTAACAGTACCGATCAGCAGCAGTAACGTAAGTTGTGCAAAAAAGCTGATTGAGAAATGGTTGCAAAAAGAAACATTCTAATGCTTGTTCGGAGTAACCAGCGCAATGAGGCTGGACCTTACCGTGGTGTGATGGTTTGCGTGCTTCAGAGATCCATTGAGCTATGCTGGGTGGTGCTTTTTTGAACCTTCAGAGCCACTCGTACCAGATTGGTCAATGGTTAGAGGCCAGAGCAAAACAGTCTCCTGACCCTCCGAGTTAAGGGTTGGAATGAGGGTGACTCCTTATTCCTTAAAACGGACTCCTTGTAGCCCAACGCCAAATCTGCTGCCTTGCGGTCAGGTTTTTGAACCAAAGGCTTTGGTTGAGAACCCTAATCGTTCTCCTGTCTAGGCCTGGACAACCTGACAGTATTCTGCCCACGCAATACTATGAACCATTCCTTAGACAATTTCTTGATGCTCTGGCCACCGCAGAGGCTAATCAACGGTGTCCTATCTGCTGCATCGAGCAGGGTGGATAGGGGTTTGGATGTTACCGCGCAGGACTTCCCGTCTTCTTATCCCCTTCTTGCGCTTCTTCATCCTTACCGTCCAGTTCCAGCTTCACTTTTACCCCCCTGTTTTTAACCCCCAATTCTCGGTCCCCCCACCTTGCTTTGCTAGGTTTTTACCTTCTAGTTTCAACTCGCATGTGAACGCGGAGCGCCATTCCTGCCCTGTCAACAGGCCCATGTCCAAGCAAACGGCCAAGCCCGGTTCATCGGCTTCCATTTGGAGCCCTAGATCATCCTTCAGATTGGCATGCCTCAATGTATGCACATTGCTACAGATCGGTCAACAGGCAGCACTTGCCCGAACACTAGAGACCCTCTCGATCGATATCTGCTGCTTATCGGAGACTCGCCTGCAGGACTCGAGCTCTGTGTTCACTTTGCGATCCCCTTCATGTGACATTAGCAACACTTTCTCATTACGCCTGTCCAGAGAGGATGCAGCTTCCAGCACCGGCCAAGCCGGTGTTGGTATTGCCCTGAGCCCCCGAGCTGTAGCTGCTTTGGTTGATTAGATGCCAATCAGTAGCCGGTTGTGTGCGGTCCGATTGGCTGGCTCGTTCAAAGCTTCGAAGCCGCACGGGAATAAAAGGTGTCTATTCGTCATGGCTGCTTATGCACCCACACCCTAGCGATGATTCGGTAAAAGACGACTTCTATCGCCAATTGAACGAGCTCCTTCGTCACAGAAGAAGCTCGGACACTGTTGTGTTGGCTGGGGATCTGAAAGCTCAAGTTGGAAAAATATCCACTGATGAACTGCATCTGGGCGGCCAACATGGTGTAGGCTCCTGTAATGATAACGGTGAGCGGTTACTTCATTTGTGTGAAGATGCTCGCTTATTTCTTGCGAGCACTAATTTCCGACACAGCACCCGCCGGAGGGTGACTTGGCGCCCACCAGCCTCGGACCAGCTATGAACGCAAATCGATCACATTGCGGTAAGTAACCGATGGAGAGGCTGCGTCCAGAACTGTCACTCGAATTGGAGCACTTGTATGGACACCGACCATGCACTCGTATGTGCTGACCTGCGGATGTGTTTTGGCGCGCGCCCAAAACGAGGTTGTGAGCGCATTGACACCAGCAAACTGGTGAAGCCAGATGTTCTGAATGCCTAACAAAGTACGCTGACATACGAGTTGAGTAAGCGCTCACTGGATGCAACTGAAGCGCACCAGTCTCATACTCACCAGACCTTACTAGCAGCAGGCAAATCCTCATGTGGTAAGTCTAATCGCCAACATAGACATTGGGTCTCCTCGCAATCTCTGGAACTTATCGATGCTCACCGGCATATTCTGGCTGGAAGCGAACACAATGAAGCTCGCAAAGAGCTCCGGGTAAAACTCCCTGCTAGCCTGAAGAGAGAAACGAATCCTGGTGGTCTCATCGTGCATCAGAGATGGAAATGGCCGCTGCCCTTGGTAATCATCGTGTCATTCCGGCTGATACGGGAAACGGGCAGCAGGAGACCTGGTGTTAGTGAAACTATACTTGACGAGAGTGGACAGCCTATCCACAATTTATCAAAACGCCTGGAACATTGGGCTGAGCACTTTGAAGGGCAATTTAATCGGTCGGAATTGTTAGATTTATCGCCGACCAGTGATCGCCCTGCTCCGTGGGCTGTCCCTCTGGATCCACCCTCTCGCTCAGAAGTCGAACATGAGATCAAACTGTTGAAGTTAAATAAAGCCGCGGGATCTGATGACCTTCCTCCAGCCCTCTTCAAATTCGGGGGACCTGCTCTTGTGGATGATTTACACGAGTTACTGGTGAGACTGTGGGAGCAGGAAAATGTCCCAACCGATTGGAGCCGCTCCATCATAGTCCCAATTTTCAAAGGAGGCTCACGATCGGAATGCGGCATTCATAGAGGAATCAGTCTGATCTCCATCACCTCCAAATTGCTTGCCTCTGTCATCCTTCACAGACTGACTGGCACTCGTGAAAGCCAGATTCGTGAAGAGAAAGCTGGATTTCGTCGAGGTCGTGGCTGCATTGACCACATCTTCACCTTGCGTCAGTTGTTGGAGCACCGTCACACATACTGGCGGCCCACCGTAGTCGTGTTCCTCGATATCAAAGGTGCATTCGATTCGGTGGATAGACATCCACTTTGGGACTGTCTACTCAGGAAAGGTGTACCTGAGAAATATGTAAATATTATCCGAGCATTATATGCGCGTAGCTCGGGCAGAGTGAGGGCTTACGGCAAGTTGTCGTCGCCCTTTAATATCTCCAGCGGCGTGAGACAAGGATGCCCGCTGTCACCTTTCCTCTTCAACTTCGCTGTTGACGAAGTCATGAAAATCGCGTTCACAGGACACGACTTAGAAAGTGTGGAGCTACTCCCAGGAGAACGACTTCTTGATTTAAAGTATGCTGATGATATTGCCCTCATCTGTGACAGCTCACAAACGTGCCAAGCGGCACTGGACAGATTAGCACTAGCTGTCCGTCACTTCGGGCTTTGCTTCGCACCCTCGAAGCGTAAAGCGTTTCTCCAAGATTGGTCTGGACCGCCTCCTACGCTGACCCTTGGTGGGATCAGCTAGAAGTCGTTCAAAAATTCAACTACCTGGGAAGTTGTATCAGCGCCCGTAGGATTGAAGATGAGATTACGAATCGTATAGCAAAAGCTCGGGGCGCTTTTGCTAACCTTCTCCACTTATGGCGCCGGCGCGACATCACTCTCGCCCTGAAGGGTAGAGTGTACAATACAGCGGTACATTCGACCCTACTGTACGGTGGTAAAACCTGGCCCCTTAGATCAACGAACAGAAAGAGTCTAGTTACGTTCGACCACCGATGTCTTCACAATTTAGCTCACATCTGGTAAGAAAACCGCGTGAGTAATGAGCGTGTTCGACGCCTTGTTTAAAGCGCAAGAAAAGGAAACGAACCGCTCAGCATCATTATTTCACGCACCAGGCTCCGATGGCTCGGCCACGTGTTACGTATGCCAGCCCACCGACTCACGCGACATGAGTTGTTTGTTCACCGGGGGTGTGGATGGAAGAAGAGGGGTGGCCAAGCGATGACTTGGTCCAGAGGAATGAAGGCCCTCACTTTTGAGCTGGCCTCGCTTGGGCGTCTCGACTCCCTGGTTGGGGTCCGAAAGACGATGATACACTTGTTGATATGGCTAGGAGCCGACCTCAGTGGCATTCGTGCTGTGAGTTCCTTTGTCCCACCCCATCCCTCTTAATCTTCCCCTTCATCCACGATCTCACTATTTAGCCTTATATAATTTTGCATAGTAAATTCTTTTTGCGGCATAGTAGCCGGCAGGTAGGTTAGCGGAACGAGGCCTATCCATCACCGGTAGCTCAACTGGCTTATATCTGTTGTCTTTATTTCCTTTAATCTATTGCGGCACAGTAGGTGAGGTGTTTTCCACCTCTAGCTAACGTGTATAATGATGATGAATGAATGGATTGCTTGGGAAGGACCAAAAGCCGAGTACTAAACAATGAGGACGGGTTGGCTAAGTAACAATCAGCAAGCAAGCACAGCTTACAGTGGGGCGGCGGTCGGTGAGAGTTAGTCTTCTATAGAATCAAACGAAGAGAGACTGGTAGCCCGTAAAGAGACAGAGGAGAAAAGTGGAATTTATCAGTGAAGAAAAAGAGCACGCACGGCTGTAAGGTTATGATAGGATCTCGAGAGCATGATGTATTAAGTGAGGCGATAACGCCGCGCGGGTTGCTGACATGCCCGCATGCCTAATAAGCGCTGTTCATGGAAAGTTCCATAAAAAAAGTTGAAAGAGCAAATCTCGTCGTCTTTTTATTCAACAGCCAAATTGATTCGGGTGCAAGTGTGAATACAAGTAGGTCACAACTATATAAAATCACTAGCAATCTGCACGAGTCTTGTACGTGGGGTGGATGGGTAGGCAACTGTGAGCAGGAAGATGGTCCGTGATATCTGTGTCAAATAAGGGGCTGAGGGGAAGCGTTCACAAATCTTCGAAAGAGGACAGCACCAAGGGCCTAAAGTTGTGCAGAGGAACTTGGTTCGCAGGGTAAATTTGCATAGGCACGGAAAGCTAAGCTTGAGGATGCATCTGGATCGACCCCTGGCGACGGAGATGGATCCGGAAAAATGCAAACGGTGATGTTGGCGGCCAAAAAGACAACTGTTCCCCGCTCAAACTCCCTGTGAAAAGCATGGGCGAGAAAACAAAGTTGAAATGATTACGGATTAAACAGTGTAGGGTGCAGCATGTCAGAAAATGCTGAAGATCGGAAAAAAGGTACGGTGTTGTCGAACAGTGAGGGTATACACGGCCGGTTGTCTGTAAACAAGTGCGGATAAATGCCCATCATCACTCGAAGCTGTAAACATTTGATAAGGCCAGTTTTAAAACATCAAAATTGCTCACAACCCCCTCCACTCTACTGGTGGAGGTTCGTGAATGAGTGTTTGGAGTGAACAGACTCAGCCTTAAAATCATTGTTCTCCGACACGGCATCCATTGGCTCGCTCACGTACTGCGGATGCCAGCTTATCACCTTACGCGGCGAGCGTTATTTGTTCTTTCCGGAAGCGATTGGAAAAAGTATCGCGGCGGACAACCAATGGCGTGAAAAAGGAGCGTGAAGAAAGAAGCCTCAAGCTTGGCATTAGGGCATGCCACCATAACACAAGGTGAATATGGGGTCGGATTTGTAACCTTCAACCACCTGAATGGACACTTGGTGGACAGCCCACTGGCATCGGTCCAAAGTTGGTGGCTCTTCGCCTACGCCTGGGGCCGAGTAAGTTTGCAACTTCTGTTAGCATGTATGGTCTCATCATGTGTTATACTGATGACATAACGGAGCATCAACACCATCATTATACACGTTAGCTAGAGGTGGAAAACACCTCAGCTACTGTGCCGCAATACAAAAGAGAAGAAAAAGGTGCAAGAGAGGCAAACCAACTGAGCCACCAGTAACGGATGGGAATCGTTTCAGAGAGGTACAAGCCGACTTCTGTGCCGCAAGAAAGAGCTGTCTTATGCCTAGGAAATGAGATCGTGGTTGGGAGAGGGATAAAGAAACTCACAACACAAACGCCAGTGAAGTCGGTTCCTAGCCATGCCAACAAGTGTACCCAGCCGAACGTGTTAATAGTCTTTCGGACCCCAACCAGGGAGCCTAGAAACAACAAGCGAGGTCAACTTCGAACTAAGGACCTTCATTCCTCTTAACCAAGTCATCGCTTGGTCATCCCTCCTCTTATTCCACCCCCCGGCGAGCAAACAACGCACGTCGCGGGAGTCGGTGAGCTGGCATGCACATGTTGCGCAGTCATCGGAGGCTTGTGCGTTATATAACGGTGTTGAGCGGTTCACTTTCTATTCATGTGCCATGAACATGCTCATTGCTCACATGGTGTTCCCACTAGATTTGGGCCAAAATGCAAAGGCATCGGTGGTCGAACGTAACTAGCCTCTTTATGTTTGCCGATCTGATGAGTCAAGTTGCACAACCGTACAGTAGGGCCGAAAGTACGACTGCACTATAGACTCTACACTTCAGAGAGAGAGTGATGTCGCGCTGCCGCCATATGTGGCGAAGGTGAGCAAAAGTGCATCGAGCTTTCGCTATACGGTTCGTGACCTCGTCTTCGATCCCTCTGGCGCTGATACAACTACCCAGGTAGTTGAATTTCTGATAGAGTGCTACCTGATCCCCACCAAAGGTCAGTGTAGGAGGCGGTCCCTACCAAGCTTGAAGGAAGGCTTCGCACTTCCAGGGTGCAAAGCAAGGCCCGAAACGGATGACAGCCAGGACAATGTCGTCAGCAAACTCCAAGTCAAGAAGTCATTCATCTGGGAGCAGCTCTATAACTTCTAAGTCGTATCCTGTGAACGCGATCTCCATGACCGTCAATAATGAAGTTGAGGAAAAGTGACATCGGGCATCCTTGTCTTATACCGCCGGAGATATTGAAGGGCGGTGACAGGTTGCCATAAACCCTCACTCTGCCAAAGCTACGTGCGTTTAGCGCTCGGATAATGTTTGCATTTTTCTCGGGCACAGCTTTCCATCGCAGACAGTCCCAAAGGGAATAGCGATCAACCGAATCGAAGGCACCTTTGGTGTTGATAAACACGATAACAGTGGGCCGCCAATATATGTGACGAACAAAAACAAACAAACACAACAGCAGCAGTACATCAGACATTTGAACTGATGCTTCGTTTGTCTCGTAAGCGCGGTGCGGGTTCGAACTCGAGTAGGAGAGGGCGTTCTCGCGGTATGCTCAGCCCGCGTGCGACTGGCGGTGGTCGCAAGGGCAGCGAAGCACCGTTACGGCGTACAATTGCCATATAACCATGAATACCTATGGAATAAAGAATAATAAGAGGGAGAGAAGGGGGACTTACCTGAAAGCCTTAATGCCCTAAGCAAACATACAGGGTAAGGGCGCCTGCACCTTGTGGCAACAACATACCGTCACAAACAGCTGGCTATCATGCAAACATAAGATGGCATCGGCGACACAGCTTCCTTGTGGCTTTCGCTGCAACGCGAAATAATCAGCAATTACACCCCAGATAACTCAGCACCAAACACACATCAAACAGGAAGTCCGACTAGGAGACGGCAGAAGACGCGCCACTGCTAGCCATACCCTGTAAAGTCTCGAGCCAAGCACAAGGAGGGTCACGTGGACTCCAGTCCGGTAGGCGAGACGGACCGACAGCACCCAGTTTGATCGTCAGTGACTTCATTTCCCGCTGCCAAGTCAACTTCTGTCCACCTCGAGCATTACGCTACCCTACATCTGGCAGCTAAAACAAGGCCCTCCTAGGTAAGCGATGAGCAGGCATACGTAGTACGTGCCCAAGCCAGCGCAACTTATTCAGTGCTATCTGTTGTTCTAAGGAACTAGCTTGGTCATCACTGCCTAGTACTCGCCTACGCACATCAGCGTTGTGGACATGCTGGTGCCATCAGACATCAGCAATGCTTCGCAAACAACGATGATCAAAGACTTGAAGGCACCCCAGATCTTCAGACCGAAGGGGTCAAAAGCTACTACCCTAGAGTAGAACGGCCCTCACTGTGGACTTGTATACACGGCGTTTCAGACGGAGGGAAACGCTCTTCTGTCGCCAAAGATGCCGCAGGTTCAAGAAAGTAACTCTGGCCTTTGCAATGCGTGAACTGACTTCAGTTTCTATGTGCCTATCGTTGCTGATGCAACTGCCAAGGTAAGTGAATCACCCAACCACCTTGAGTTCCTCGTTATCGAGGATTAAGAGGTCATAAAGTGTCTGGTGGTCTTGTAGCAACACTTTGCACTTTGAAGGTGCGAATCGCACACCAAATAATAGGACCACTCTAGAGTAGCTATTCAGGGTTGATTGTGACGCCGCAACACCGTCAAGAGCAACTAGCCTTTCACCAGGCAGGAACTCGACGCATACATTGTGAAATTCCGCAAAGGAACACTCTAAGATGGAGTCCACGACGAAATTGAAAAAAATAGGGGGAATTGGACAACCCTCACGAACACCATTTGTTGTCGGAAAGCTATCCGACAGGTCATCGCAGACCCTGACGCGGCCTGTAGTGTTCGAGTACAGCGTACGTAAGATGTTCAGATATTTCGTGGAAATACCTTTCCGCGCAAATATTTCGAACAGAATGATCGAATTGAACCGAACGCACGCTTAAAGTCGAGGAATAGAGCTATTGTCGTACGTGGTGCTGCTCTAGCACCTGCCGCAGAATGAATATATGGTGTATACAGCCACGTCCTAAGCGGAAACCTGCCTACTCCGCCCTAATCCGAGATTCCCGCTCCGTAATAAGGCGACGAACGAGAATCGAGGCCAGTAATTTTGTCACAACTGGCATTAGGCTAATACACCTGTGGTTAGCACAGTCTGTGCGACTGCACTTCTTGTATATTGCCACCATAATCGATTCACTACGGTTAGTCGGGACATTCCCTTTCAGATATGTTCGAATAGGGAGGTCAGTGCTTTGCAGATGATCATCCTTAATTAGTGTAGGTGGGAGAGAATCCGGGTCGGCAGCACGAAAACGATTGAGGGCTGCGATCAGGTTTCGGACCTCAGCCTCCGATGAGGCCACTAAACTAACCGGCCATGGCTCGTCCTGCATCACCTGAGTAGGAGGAGGTCCGGGAGCAGGTGGCCAACTGAACTGATCTTGAAAGTATATGTATATGTGACGTGCTCCAATGAGTAACGCAAAGTGAAGATGTGATCGAAGCAGCTGCGACCTCGATGAAACCCGGCTTGCTTCGCAGGAGTGCTCATCAATCTGTGAAGGATGGAGAAGGCAATGGAGATCAGAGTGATTCCTCTATGGTTGCCGCACAACGAACATGAGCTTGTCTTGAAAATTTGGACTGTTACGGAGCAGTCCTAATCGATTGGGAAAGTTTTCTGCTCCCATAATTTCCCTAGTACCTCGTGTAAATCAGCAACAAGAGCAGAGTGCCTGAATGTGAAAAGAGCTGAATGAAGACCATCTGGTTCCACGGCTGTATTCAACTTCAACAGTTCGATCTCACGTTCGACTACCGAGTGAGGGTGGGCCTAAAGGGACAGCTCAAGGAGCAGGGCGATCAGTGGCTCACGAGAAATCTAACAATTCCGACCGATTAAATTGCCTTTCAAAGTGCACAACCCAAGGCTCGAAACGTTTGGACAAGTTGTGGATAAGCTGTCCCCTTTTGTCATGAACAGTTTTACTAACACTAGGTCTCCTGCTGCCAGTTTCTCATAACATAAGGAACAACGATCGTTTTGTATTGGTCAGAAAAAACGGTCGTTTCCTTGCATTACATGATCTATATATGTTGTTAGTTTGCAAGTGATCAGATAACATGAAATGGTGCCATTTTGCAGTGCTCGTCTTCGCATTGTTTTGTTCAGACTGATACAGGGAACACGATGCTCTAAACATTTGAAAAGTGTTGTTTGCCGACGACTGTGTGGTGTTTGCACACTTCAAGGATGAGTTGTAGCTTATGATGACTACTCTCGCTTTGACGGCGGACTAGTCATCAACACAAGCAAGACCGTCTGTCTTTTTCAGCTGTCATCAAGAATGGTATTCGTGGGCTGTCAGCAAATCAAAATTGCTGATGAAGTGCTGGGAGTCCCAATAAAAGTTTGCTATCTCAGGAGCATATTGTCAACGGACTTGCAGATTAGAAGCGAGCTGAGCATCCGCGTATCGAAGGCGAGTATTGTGTTAGGGGAAGTTGGAACACTGGGTGTGGAGGAATCATCGGCGAATGGTTGGGACCAAGCTGATGGTGTTTGATGGTGCTGTCGATGCTTCTTCATTGTAGCGAAACGGACGTTATACAAGAAGGACATAAGCTATTTGGGGCGATTTCATCAATAGCGCCTGCATCGGATTTTGCGCATCCGTTGGTGTGAAAGAGTTCCTGACACGGAAGTGCTTCGCCGGAGCAGTATGTGCGGAACGGACTGCATGTCAGATTAAGCGTTTAACAACTGACATGGCTAACCCAAAAGTCTCCATGCAGGAAGACGGAATGCCCCAAATTAACTAAGGCTCTGTTGAAAACTGTAGTCTTCACCAGTCCGTATACAATCGCTAAGTATGCGGTTGAAATCAACCTTGGACAGGTTTGGGACGGGTTGCGTCCCCTTGGATGGGGAATGTGTTGATTGAGAGAAGTGAACCAGCAGTCAGAGACGACAGCGACAATGGTCAAATCAGCGTTCGCTTGGTCTAACAGAGGTCAACAAAAACCAGATACCGAATGAAAAATGACTTGGTCGATGGAGACGAAATACACGCAGCGGGCACAGTGGCACCATCGTACCTAGACATTTGATTGATGCCATCTAAGCTGCCTGACGTCGTAGTGTACCGATAGGTATTTGCAAACCCTCGCGTCTTCTCAAAATGTGAAATCCGGTTACTTATGTGGCCATTAGGAGTCAACCAAAAAGAGGACTGGCTAGAACAACAAACCACAAACCGCAGTCCCACATGACGAAAATTCTATTTGATTGGGCTATCAACTTATCCCGAACTTTCACAGAAGGCAGATGCTGAGTTTACATATCTGTCTAACCCAGCAGATGCAAAATAGCCTGAATGAGCTCGTAAAGGCCGCCCAGCATGACTCACGGCAGGGTGCAGTCTGGTTGCGATGGACGTGAGGGCTGGGAGACGAAGTGCTAACTAGTTGTTCAAGTCAGTGGGTTTTGGCCTCCGGCAGCGGACCAACATGCACGCTTCGGGATGCTTTCACTCGCACCAAATGCCTGGAGCAATAAACCGACTCGTTTAAGTGGATAGGGGGCCAAACGATCCGTAATGCTCTACGGGTTTAAAGGATCTCGATCACATTAACAACAAATGAGTAGTAAATTCTTATGTTTGGACTCTCGAGACGCGTACCAACAGGTCCACTTAAAAGAGTCTATAAAACCTTAGCTGTGACGGGATGTGTACTAAAAAAGCATTTTGTAGGTGAACCGAGGAGTTTCGGCTAACAGCTATTCGACCTGGAATTGTGATGAGCCCGCCAGATGGGATTGCGTTCAGAGAAGGCTGAGAAACCGACAACTGTCAAAGACAATCACTTACGAATTGAGGCCTAACAGCAATCCGTCGAGCCACTGACCCAAAGAACAATGAACTAAATGGGTTGGTAAACCAAAGGCTGCCTCAGCAGTTACAACCACCGCATTAAATTGGTAGAAGTCAGCGTATGTGCAAGGAGTTGAAAACGGTGTAACCATCAACACATGCGACTGTCGTGCATACAGAACAATGGTAACCGCCTCAGTAATAACGTGTGGTGTTTGTCAGGCGCACCAAATTCGACCGTACTGTTTGAAAGTGAAATATGTAAGAAGGTTGAGAACTCACAAAACTGCATGTATCCGACCGGCTGGTAGATGGCCATCTTGTGTTTGAAATTCCCGTTGCTCCGCCTGTCTGAGTTGCTCGTGCTGTGACGGGTCGGGATGTAAAATTGCATTTTCCTTTGACTTCGATGGCTGTGGCGTGGGAAGCTGTTGCAAGACACCTGAGCCGCTGATGAATATTAAGATACTAGCAGACGCAACAGGTAGAAGCTCCAACACACGGCAAGATGAAGGTACCTAAAATAGCGAAGAAGGACATACGCGCCTTTGGTATGGGTAATCGACAGCGGGTGACGTAAGTAGCCAACCGAAAGAGTCTGTAGCCAAATTGGACTCCCACACTATAGACGGGCGCAATTTGGTAGCATACCATGTGGAGTCTTGGGACGTGTTGAGAGGACCGAAGCATTCACAAATACCAGAACCACTAGCCGAGGAGATATACGGTAATCTAGCCGCAAAAAATGAGTGAGATTGCTTCAAGGCGCATGGTAGCGTGCACGCCCCAATGCACACAGTTTACAGGGAAACAAGTGACGGAGAGAGAACAAGTGGGTTGAAAACGGGTAGAAATAGCAGACGACCTAACTATCTGGCAAATTATCCACACCGGATTACGAAATGGTAACGGTTGGAGTTTTTGGCAGACGGGGTAGCAGACTTTGGTAGTTAATTTGCTCACATAACAAACGAAGCGCATGACATGCAAGATAATTCACATCTATCCTACGAAAAAGCACTGATTTATAAGGTTATTAAGTGGGTATATGATGTGTACGTCTGGTATGCATGATTCCCAAATTAGATGGATAAGAACGCTGCTGTTGTTGATGAAACGTGGCTCCCATTTACATGTCTCCTAACCTTATTCCTTCGGGTCTAAACTGAATATGTGGTATGTAGATGGAACTTCGGATGGTGTAGCGCAAGCGAGGTATGGTCCCTCTGTAGGCGCAGGCGTATTGTGGCTGTCCACAATGAGGTAGCAGTGGCAGGCAAATCCGAAACTGAATGCCGCCAATCATGTGGTAACAAACTGGTTATGGTGATTCGGATAGGTGAGAGACATCTTCACTGCGAGTGTAGTTAACAGCCGGTTGTGAAGACTGTCATAATTGGTCGGTGCACTCTGGTTCACAAATTCATGCGCCGCAAGCGAATGGAGCTGTAAATAGGCATAACATTAGTGAGCCCTAATTGACAATGTTCATGTGATTCCCCCCGAGTGGGGCCAATGTCTTTGCCATGAGACAAGGCGTTCACAGCTATTGCTATTCCATTCACTAGAGTTCTGAGTCACCGACCAACAGGCGCACTCTCATAAAAAAGAACAGGCAAAGCAGGCAAATCAATCGCAATCACCCACAACAGCGCATAGTGTTCCCATATGATCCATTCTCTATATGTTGTCGATTCCGCACACTGAGTCAAAGCAATCGGTGAAACCGCTGGCGATGTGTCACATGCAGTAGTACAGTTCCAACGAGCTAACGGCAGGTACAGTGTGACAAATCCCATGTGGATGTGACGTGTGTAGCACATATAATGCCAACTACTCAGTCGAGCAGGCCAAAACGTCTCTAGGTCCTGTAACTACATTGCTGCGTTCCTTGACAGGTCATCGCTAGATTCCAGGTCCCTGTTTTTCGGAAACTGATAAAATGTTGACATCCCCGCGATGAAGCTACAAATCGGACAGACTATGCCCAAATGGAAAGGTATACGTGTGTATGGAAACATATACCCATTAGTACCATTTTCCCTTCGTACTACGCGTTCTTCAAATCAAACTTGACAATCTATTTTAAGCAGAAAATCAGTAATTTGTCAGAACGGAATAAGAAGTAAGGTGGCGGGATGATATTCAGATACATAGCAAACGGGACTATGCGAACAACGGGCCCTAGATCCTGAGCGTCGTTCACCTCGATCATGTTACCCTACCGGCCTTCGCGTATTTTTGCGCGCACGTGCGTGTGAACCAATACGGCTGCGCGTCGAGCAGAAAAGTGGAGACTGCTATGACCGCTGAAACTTACGTAGCTTATTAGCCTACTACTGCACGAAACGACCAAAGTGAGCGACGGACGACGATGAGATACGTCTCCGATGCAGTGACGGCAAAAGCGAGTGTCAGTGATGCAGAAAGAGATCGTGACCAAAATTTTGTTCGTCGACGGCAAATCCACCCACGAATCTGCTGAAGTTGCCGATGTCAACGAGGGCACGGCAAGAAACACTATCGATGCCTAGGGGCGAGTATGCACCACTACCCAGCGTAACTGTGTAGAAAACAACAGAGAGAGGCTGACGCCCGATGTCCTACAGCGCATCGAAGAGATCGTTGAACGACATTCGGAGGACAGTTTGATGCAGATACAGTGGCGGCTGAAAGAGAACGAGATCCACCTTTCCGTGCCTAGAGTCTTCAACACCCACAGAAGGTATAAAATTAAGTTCAAGAAGTGCCACAACGAGCTAAACCGTGTCAACAGTGTCACGACGACCGCAAGCTGGTGGACTTACACTTTCGACTTCTCGGTAAACGCACCGCATGACAAACGGAAGTGCATCTACATACCTCATGAGCGGATTCAACATCCATTTGGGCAGGATACAGACGTGCCCAAGAAGAGGGAGGAGCATGAAGGTCTTCTTGCCCACATGGGAGCGCTGGTTGTGGCAATGAATAGCCAAGGCATCGTTCCCTCAAAAATCACCAATGAGGGCACCTGCAATGGTGTTTATCAAACAGCTTGTGGGGTAGAGTGGAGAGGAAGCGTGCATGGTTGACTATGGACAACGTCGGAAGCCACGTGTAAAATGATCTAAGGAGGTTCGTCGTATCAGTTGAATTTGTTGTCATCCTACTCCTACATGCTAAACCCGGTAGAAATCGTTTCCTTGAAAGGTGAAAGTTTCAACGAGACGCTTGCTGACCAACCCGACGCATGACCAGATGCTAAGTGTGATAATTCAAAAGAGCATTGGGATTGTACGCAGTAGGACTACTAATTGGGTCCTCATTATGATGCTGCGGGACAGCCCTACATCAAATGACCATCTCTAACGCTATTGTCTTCTTTCTTGTTAATACATCAGCTTAATTTCAAAGTGGACATTTTTCAAACCAAGTTGCCGGATTTAGCGTGTACCGAGAATTAGAAAGCGTGAGCCGATAGGGAGACAGAGGAAAACTGGGTCACCGCCTTTGATTGAGATGAACGGCGCTCATGATCAAGAGAAGGGCCTGGATTAGCGCCCACTGCTTGCAGACTGCAATGTGGATTGAGCATTGGCCAGTCGCCTTATTCCTCATTCTTTGCTAACAAATTGCTGATCTGCATAAAACAAACTGTGTCCAGTTTGATTTGCAAAACACCATGTTTGATGTGAATATAGTACTTTTACATATGCATATCTCTCCATCTACATATGTCCGTGGCTTGCTACAGCCCAGCAATCGCTCCTGCGTGCTGAGTTCAACTGGAACCGATGGTGAATTGTTCAGAGAGTAGGCTGGGTGCAGGACATGGGAGCGGATGCTATTTTAAGACCGTTGTTGGAATCGAGAAAAACAAGCAGCAATTTCGACTGGAAAAAGTCGTAAGTTACGAAGTAGTGCATAAATGTTAGGTTTTGAACCAATGTCAGTTATGTGTCAATGATTCGTGTAACAGTTATCCCGTGTAGATTTAGAGGAAGAAACTCATGTCAATTGCGTCCAAACATAAGCATCTTTTGACAGGCGCGTGACGCCTCAGTTGCGGAAGGAAAATATCAAAGTAACTGCAAATGACTCCTTAACAAGTAGGAAAACCTACAATAATCTTGTCCACAGCGAAGTCGTCAGTCGGAGGAGCAAACGTGATTATTTCTGGTTGTGCTGTTGCTTCTCCATTCGTCTTCGTCGGCTCAGCCAATGGGATGGGAAGTGGTTTCTCAATCGGTCGATTTTGCCCAGGGAACCTCAACTCCTCCTTGCTACGCGGCTCGTACAGTAGCATGGAGAGAAGGCAATCGATGTCCTTGTACTTGGAGGTCAATCCGGCGCGAACGACATTGTCCGAACATGCCATGCACTCGACGCAATCGCCAGACAAGTACGCGTGTGGGAGGTTTGCCTGAGTGGACAAAAAACTTGGAGTAGTAGCGGAGAGCGTCGGTCGAGCGCGGTAAGGAACGAGAAACAGAGGCGTCATACAAGCACAGGACGTGTAGGATGATGTTAATGCAGGATTCAGGGGTAGGCTATCCAGTTAGTGTCATATAACAAGGCAAAGTGGAGAAAAGTAAAGATTATCGGTTTTGGAACTGGAGTGAATGAAAAAGAAAGGAAACATTAGAATAAGTTCAAGTATTGGGTGAACAACAAACAGACGACCAGGTATCTAAGTTTACGACGCAGAAGTAACCTATGGTCTGCAGTGATGATTTTCGCTTATCTTGTACGTCAACGTGCAAAGCAGGTATCGAACGAGCAAACGTCAACATATCATGTGGTAACATAGGATTTTGTTATCCGAAATGAGCAGCAGAACGCCGGTGTTGAAAACAAAAGAGATCAACATTCGCCTTTGCGAAGGACATGCGGTTTTGCCCTACGTTGTAGCCTAGTCGCTGAAGGGCTTTTTTGCTAGACTTATCTCACATCGCGGATAATTCACATTGAGCGCCATTGGTGTGGAGTAAAACAAAAGACATTATCTGCCAAATCGATACGTTAGGATTCGACCCGAATTGGGTGTGCAATACTGGCTTATCGGATCGGTCATCGACGTAGAGACAGTTGGTCGTTAACCGTCTAATGCATGTGGCTTTTGGTTTTGCATCCTAGCATTAAATCCCAGAACGGTAATGGGGTGGAACGACACGTGAAGGCACGTAGTGCACTTGTGCAAAGCCAAATTAGAGCCAAGCCTCAGGTACCGTATGAGCAGGCAGATACAACGTCAAGGAGCTCATGACGGCAAGCCCATTCATCCAGAAACGAACTGGGCCGCTGTAAAATGGCTACAATAGACATATTGAGTCTCGTTGGCGTCGGTGCACAGTGTTTCGAAACACAGTAACATCAAGGGAACAAAAAGGTAACGCGAGGAAGAAAAGACGCGGAGGCAAATGTCGAATGTATGTCTACATGAGGTAGTGTCAATGCTTTGTCGTCACTGCGAACGCTGCCATTAGCTTTGATCTTCCGACAAACATCACATTCCAATGGCTCATTGATCAGGAAAAAGGAAAGGAAAAAAAGGAAGCCAACCTCTGTTTTGATACATGAATCGACTTGTTAGGCGCCGGAAAACAGTCGCACATAAACTTTGGCACTGGTTTGACTAATTGCGCTGTCTTGTAGTATTGCTTACAGTTGGATAGAGGGATCTTATAAGTTGCACCCTATCGAGGTAGCTCTGTACGAGATGCCCCCAAATGAGTGCTACGGAAGAGTGTCATATCTAAGCAGCTATATTTTCCATTTCTACTCGCTTAGGTGATTGAGCTTGGTGTAAGTGATCCAGTCCCCGAATAGTGGGAGTTCCGTCATGTGATCAGAAGACCAAGTCAGTATGCGGATAATATGTGGAAGGGCTCCTCGAAGGCGGAAGAAAAGTTCCGGCAGCGATCGAAAAGCCGATGCGCACGAACAGCAGCGTCACTTGTATCATACATGAAGACAAACCGCTGTCTCATCTGGCTAGTTACGTCGTATGCAGGCTCGCACGCACTGTTCGGCCGCTTTGCTTAGTCCAGTCAGATCACATTTGCTGTGTTTCGGGTCATGTCGAACTTATTCATGCGACGCCGCACTAATCCTGCCTTGTCGATCCGTCTCCTGCAATTCGGATAAGCTTGATTGGCTTCCCGCTCGTTGGTATAGCATTCGGTCCCCTCGCTCAAATTGACAGTTGCCCTGCGAAGCGACGCGTGGGTCTGTGAGAACGCAGACACTAAACTGTGCATTTAGCGGTATATGCTTTGCAGCTTTAAAGTAGGGAACAGACTTACTTACTTTACTGGCTTAATTACTTACTTACTTGGTTGGATTTGCCTGTCACTGTGGTCAGCCACAGGACGCCTATGCCTACAGAGGGACCATAGGTGGCTTGCGCTGCACCACCCACAGCTCCAACCACACACCCCATATCCAGTGTAAACCCGAAGGAATAAGACCGGGAGGCATGTGGATGGGAGCCACGTTTCATCAACGGAGCCGGCCCACACTCCTTCACAAGCAAACACAAGCACGCTGTATTTGGGGAATCAAGTGCACACAAGGCGGTGGCTGGACCGTAGTCCGCTCCACACTGAGTGCATGGAACCGCCTTCGAGCCTAGCACGGCCACAAGGACCGCGCACCCCGTCCCCTCTAGCAACGACCAACTGTCTCCTGGAGCCAGTATGAACGAGCTAGTGGGTAATAGACAGGTAGGCACCTTGTCGACATGCAAATCAAGCGCAGCCACACCGAGGATATCAAGCAACAGCCATTCACTCTAAACGACAAGCTGAAATAAAATAAATCCAATAATGCATACAGATACGGTGGAATAACTCTTCGCTAAATTATCAAATGAAGTAAGTTGGTTAGCAACGAATCCGCGATAAATAAGAAATGTCTCCAAGTTACTTAAAAATGTTACAAACGCAACAAAATTACCGAAGATAAGCGCAACTAGCGTAAGCAACGTGGCCAGTTAATAGAAGATTATTCAGGTAGGCAGAACAAACCAAATAAAGTGGAATGAAATTTATCCAGCTTAAAAAGACCTAGTTTAGGTGTAAGTTGGTTTAGCCCAACTGCGGTGAAGAAGCATCAAGAATGTAACAGCCTCAGCATGGGGCATATTTACTTAATTACTTACATACTTGTCTAGGCAGCTGCGTCATCGCAGCAGTGGACACTGAGGCAATAGCTGCGAACACCGAGAAAGCCCGTGTCGCTCTCAGAACGTCACTCGTCTGTGGAGACAGTTGGACGGCAGTCGACAAATTAAAAACCCAGTGAACAACACCAAGACGTGCTCAGTGCTACTGAACAGAGAGGGGTCATGGTCACTACTACGCGCTGAGAGTATTAAGTGGTTGGTTATTGGCGAAAAAGAATGTGTGAAGAGTATTGGTCATAATTGATGGGAGCGTTGGACGAGTAGTGCTGAGGAGTCCGCCAGTTGAGGTTCGATAACAAACAGGACGGTATAGTACTAAAATGTAAATGAACCCGTTAGGCTGGTCAATTCGTGCTCTACGAATGTCTGTCAACGACATACTTCGGCGGATATTTATTAAAACAATATACTCGTCAGATGGCACAGGAAATAGGCATGAAGAAGCGAATTGTAATACTTAACTTAGATGGTTCATTCTGCCTTCTTAGACAGGGTTACTGGATCCAACACCCAAGTATTCGTAGAGCCAATTCGATGAATTATGGCTGGCTAGCTGAACTGAAGTATGTACAGTGCATAATAATGTGAGACATGAGTGTCAAAGCGTCCGCAAACAACAAAGAGACAAATCGTTGTTTTAACGAATTTGGCGACGTCAGCTGGGAGCAAGGGGACAATGTATACGAAGACTGACTGACCTCCAAGAAGACTGCCTGTCCGGGCTCCAGGACGATATAATTGAGAAAGAACAGATTGAAGCAGCCCACATCACCAGGATAATCAGTCGCGAGCCGAACGAACACTTCGGATATTTTAACCATGTAATCATTATCATAAACAGGAAGGTCGGCCAACAATCGGTCTCCGGAGAGTAGACGTTCTCGTAAGCGAGTGACCAATGAGGCGACCTGATGATAAAGTTAGGAGTAAAACCCCATATGACACGCAAGAAACAAGGCGTTGGACCAAATAAATCCGCAGGTACATCCTGATTAGAAGGTAATTTTGAGAAGTATCAGATGCGTGGTGTTGTGGGGTAAAAGATGGCGAGGATAACCATTGATAAATCATCTCTGATTTAGTTGAATATGTCGCGGACTAGGTAATAGAAACAGGACGACGTTGTAGTTATGATTCACCTGGCCTGTTTGTTTAAGCGTGTTTGTTCTGCGCTTGATTAGAGAAAGGGTAGGTAGTGAAAACCGATGCTCGGAACTTGTTTTTGTCACTCACCAACCCAGGCTTGGTTTCGGAAGTAGTGAACAACGGAGCTGTTTGGTTTGCTGCTCCTGGTTCGTAATCCTTGCACAAGTGTGTGGATGACATATTCAACTTTTGACAAGCAAGGCATATGGCAAATAATAGCAAGGGTTGGGTGGTCTTTGAAGCAGATCTACCTATTTAAGTGTAGCGTTCTGAGATTTGAGTAACCCCCTTGTTTATGCAGCGAACGTTTGGTGTCAATTGACTGACAGGCGCGTTAGGAAAACGCTCTCAGACTACCTGTATAAAAATGATGAAAACATCTAAATGCACAGACCACCTATGATAGCAGGGAAGCATGAATAAACACGTAGAGATATGACTACAGGGTGCGCTTGACTTGTTTTTAAACCAGGTTTTTAAGTGAGGATAAGGTGAGGAGATGCTGTTTCAAAACAAAACGTACTTCGAAAGTACACACACATATATCTTTGTGGTGCCCCTTGAGACAGACAATTAAGCAAAAGAAAAGAAAAAGTACACCAACTTCCACAGCTTCGTGGCACTGAGGCTGAAACGGGATTTAATTCATAATCTGGTCATTAGAGCAGAAAGAATCTACTCGCATGATACGCTTGCAGGTGAACTACAGCGAATAGGCTCGTTGCTGCGGGAAAATGGTTATCCAGATCACTTCATAAAAGTCCACATGAAGAAGAGTATGAACACACTGGTTATTTTAACAGCTAATAGAAAAGCGATTTCTTTGTAACTCGCTTATAGAAGGGAGATCGCTGCCGTAATTCTTACTCGCCGTCTATCACAGGAGCTTAGACGGAGGTTGCCAGCAGAAAAATTACATACCAACACACCAATGGTGAAGCTGTCTCAAGGATAATTGACCTGTCCAGAACAACTCTATGTGCATCTATTCATTTCCCTGTTCCTTTGATTCAGGATACATTGGTAGTATGACTAGGTGCCTATCCGAGAGAATGAAAGAACGCCGTCAGGCATGGTTAGCGACCGGATGCAGAAGGGTATGTAACCCAGCCAAAGCTGCCCACCTTAGGCCAGTCGAAGCCTTCTACATTATCTACAAGGCCCAGGATAATCGATCGAGGTATATGCGCGGACGGATACTAGAAGCCGATGAAGGTATAGCAATCCAGTTGTGCGAACCAAAGTTGTGCACTCAGCAGCGATTTGTTCAAGCCTTACAACTGCCCTGGCCCGATCGAGTAGCGATTTTTACTCAATTGGATCGTGTGAAGATTCCGACATTGACCTGATTATTGACGATAGTTGACCTCTTGTAAACTGATTTTACCCCGTTTTAATGACTCAGTAGTCTGTCTAATCGATGTAATTGGTATATACTTGTACCAGCCTGATGAAGAATTATCGAAAACATGTTCGCTAACATTAACTTTGATTACCTTTATTTGTTTCTTTAAAACTAAAAAAAAAGATTTACATGGAAAAGTTCAGTATGAACTAAGGATGGCTACTGTAATACGGCTTGCGTAGAACTGTGTGGTAACAAAAGTAACATCGTTCAGAATCGTCACCATCATCAGCAAAACTCACGAGCTCCTCGTCCGTTTTCATGAGAGTTTGATACGCCGCCTTGATGGCAACATTTGTACACTCCTCTTGTTCTGCGACCGCAAATAGATCGGCAACACATTCACTTCCGACAATTTGCAATAATTCTGGGATGCCTGGGTCGAGAAAAATCGTGATAAACTTCAAATAATTGGTCAAACGTGGCTGTCTGACATTCGAGGTAAGGTGAATAATGAGCACAACACAAGGGGCAACAAGACAACACGACTTCTGGCCATAACGTTTTGAGAGCAAAGTGGACGTGGTGGACAAGAAGGAGGTCACGAGCTGGAAAGTAGGTAAGAAGCATGAGATCGAATAGGGCGCTACGGGCGATGTAATTATGTCAGGAATGCAAAGGCCAAAGGGCTGTAGGCTTCAGGTGGGCTTGAAAATAATAAAGGTGGAGCAAAGGACGGAGAATGTTTGTCCGGTCTTCATCATCAACAGCGTTACAGTAGTACATAGTATTGGTGTTTCGCCACCATACGTCTATGCAGTATGAGATGACAATAAGGGAGAAAAAGAGAGGCGGATGGGACTAAATGTGTGGCCTAAATATAACAAGCGAGCGATCAGGATCAGGAGCCGTATACTCTGTCAACACCGTAACTTCACATATGTCTGGCTATCAAGCGAAGTTAAGGCGTCGGCCGCGCAGCAACCTCGTGACTTCCACTGCAGATAGTTCAGTAAGGCAGAAATGTCCAACTGGTAGTCCTGGTGGGAGATGTGATGATATCCTTCATTCCAATTGACCAAATCATCAACTGGCCCCCTCTCTCTTCATGCATCCACACCCTTTTCGAGCCGACAACGCACAACGCGGGAATCAGTGTTGGCATGTATAACATGTGGCCTAGTGCATACAATAACGGTCCCGAGCGGTTCATTCGCTCTTCATTCATCAAATCGATACGCCCAACACACTCATTGCTCGTGCAGCGCTCCAAGCAGATGTGAGTCAAACCGTAAAGGCAGCGATGGTCGAAGGTAGCTATCCCATTTATGCCTGTCAGGCCTGACAGGCCAAGTCTTGCAACTTAACAGGAGGGTTAAACGGACGGCTGCGTTGCACACTGATTTTCAGGACAAGAGTGACGTTGCGCCGGTACCATAAGTGACGGGCTTTTGCTATTTGATGTTCGACTCCACCTATTCCCCAAGCGACAGTATAGCAGTCCACGTAGCTGAATTTCCGGAGGACATCTGGTTGATCCCCACAAGAGAGTGCAGAGAGTGGCCCACGCTGGGCTTAGTGGGATGTTTTCATTTTGTAGGTACAAAACATGGTCTGAAAAGGGTGAGGACCAATGCTGCTTGGTACGTTTGTGAGCTGTCACAGATTAGGAAAATATAGTCGGCAAAATCGAAGTCGAGGAGTTGATCACGTGGAAGTACCCTAGTGAACGAAGTTGCTATAACTCTGTCAACGGCGAAGGTAAAAAACGAAGGTGAGGGAGGGAATTCTTGTCTCACATTGCTGGAGATTGACCTGAGGCAGTTGACCATTGCGTCTTCCGCAGATGGCCTGAATCAATTGCTTCCAGAATGATCATGTTGCTCACGAAACGTAAATGGGAATTTTCAAGTTGGTTAAATGGTTGGAGTTTTTAAAGAGCAGCGAAAATTCGCCATAAACCCCTACACTACTTGAATTATGAACCTAAAACGCGTTTATAATGTTTTGATACTTCTCGTGTATACAGCACCTAATCAGACAGTCAAAAAGGGCACATTGATCCACTGAATAGAAGGCAGCTTTGGTGTCAAGGAACACAACTACAATGCGTCACGATAATAAGTGGCAGTGCTTCAATGAGTAACGTGTGGTGAGGACGTGGTCAAGGCAGTCCCAAATTCAACGGAACCCGACTTGTTGTTCGCGAATCTGGCTCCCAAAAGCGCCATTCAGGCTATGAAGAATCACACAGGAGAGCAACTTGAACGCGATCGAGAGCAGACCGATACTTATATGACCGTCGAATTTAGATGGGCACGCTTTGAAAAACAGAACTACAACGGAGCAGCTCTACTCGACTGGAAGTTTCCTGGGCCCACAAATTCACTAATAAACCGCGTAACTCATCCATAGAAGCAGTACCACAAAATCTGAAGAGTAATGGTGGAAGTCTATTTGGGTCTGTGTGAGTGTGGGTCCAAATGGAAGGTCCAATGAGCAAAAGCAATACTGGCTGTTAATGAGCCGGGCAATTCTGGTCGATTCAAATACTTTCAAGGTGTCCAGCCCAATGAACCAAGCGTTTTGATAGGTTGTGGATAAGCTGTCCCCTTCCGGTACACACAGTTTTCCTAACACTAAGTCACTGCTACCCGTTTCGAGCAGCGGACAGAACAACCTCCGATGGTTACCAAGAACATTGGCTGTTTTCATCTTCTACGCAAAATGAGACCCCCAGGCTTTGAGATTCCTCTTCAGAATAGCGAGCAAACTTGCGCTGAGATCCTTGCGAAATTTTTTGTATTCTTTTCCAAGCGGAAGGTGGCGGCAAGCAGCGATGAGTTCTAGACATTGTATAGAGACCCAATGTTCAGAATGACAATCAGATTTGGCATAAGTCACAAGCACTGCTAACAATGTCTAGCGAATATGCGACCAGTGACCTCCAACTGTGTTCAGTGAGCGACTATTCGGCCCGGATACCAGGAGGCATTGATACGAATTCAGATCAGGCTCCGCCAACTGGTAAGTATACATGCGCTCGCAGCGTCATCGAAGCGAAAACAAACGTCAGCATTTGCGTGTGAATGGCCGGAGTTTACGATCGTCACACAAACTGAGCGTCAGTTTTGAACGTAACTTCACAATTGTTAAATAACTACGATGTGATCGGTTTGTCAATGGCTAGGCTGAAGCTGCTGAGTGTCATGTAGCCATGTAACGCGCTGGGTCGGAAATTAGTGCTTGTGTGGAATCTCCACCTAAGTGTAGCAACCAATACAATTAGCAAATTTCGTATAAATAATTCCATGCTTCACAAACAACAAAAAGTTGGCCGTTACCCAGGCTTCGTTCTGACTCTCCAAAAGCTACTCCACAGGAAACAGGACAGCTAACAAGCTACTATAACGGTGGCAAGCCACGTCCCGTAGAGATACTAGCCAAGCACAAAGTGGGTAACAGGTATTTTAAGCTAGAAGCGATCAGTGTAGCGGCCAACTTTATTATTATTGTATTTGACAAGGAACACTGAGAGGGATTCGTACTACTAAGGAATTCCAAGCTGTCAGCAAGACACAGGATTTTGTTTGTCACATCACTGTCCCCAACATAGTCAGCTGAACTGGGTGGCGAAGCTATGGGATAGAAAGCGAAGTCAGTGATAAAAGATTATGTGTACGTCACACATTAAAAAGCGAAGAAATGTCCAATAGCTAAGAATCGGGATGAACACTTCCCAATGATTGCATAGTGACAGCGAAACACGCTACTACATTCTACCCTAGGTAAAAACATGATCATCCGCGTTACTAAATGATAGAGTGAACAAAAGGGAAGCATTGACAAAAGCGGAGTTGTGACTGCGGCTAAAGAGGCTGTGGACTAGCCTTAGGCGTAGCCACAACCCACAAAAGAATTCCATAAACCACTGAGAAGGGATGTTGAAGAAAATCAAGGTGAAATAGGTTAAGAAGCCAGAGTAAGAAAGAGTCTGTCTTATTGAAACCGCAGCCACAGATACAAGTGTTACAGAGAACAACGAAAATAAGACACAATGTTCATATACACAGATATAGGCTGTCAGCCAACTATTTATGATTGAATGGGTGTAGTAGAAGCTAATATAACATAACAGGTTGTTCTAAGTTGGATAGTTTGATATCTGATTAACCATTAAATATTCCAATTAATAAGCACTGCAGATCGAACTGCATGGACAATAAGTTGGTCAACAAACAAGCAATGCTACCTGGTTAATGTAACTTAACGATTGCGAAACACATAAACATATAGGTATCGTACAGGGCATCGATTGAGAAAATGACTTCTAATCGCTGTCAGGCGTTCGTTTCGTCTTTGAACACTACATATCAAAGCTACCTCTCAGAAACGATTTCGCACTTATGGTACAATCTCAATCTAACGGGATAGGTGCCGGTACAAAATCCTGGGGGAGGGGGGAGGACAAACCACCACCTAGAGTCGTTTCGAGCACTGTGTTTGGTTAGCCAGTGGTGAAGTGAATTACGTTCGCATGATTTGGTATTAACCGGTACCGGTACCGGGAGTAATGATGAAGTCTTAAGAAACTAGGTCGCGCGCTGCTGAACCGTAACTAAACAGCCACTCCGACCAATCCTGATGGCAGTGAAGACAACAAATCAAAGAGAGAGAGAGCAATAGGCATCTCTGACCAAAAGCCCTGTTACGTCACTTATTCGCATGAATTCTGCCGAAAACCCACATTCATTGTTATGTACTACCAGATGTGGATGGCGATATAGACAGGTGGATGGTGATATAAACAGGTGGATGGAAACAAATGAAAAATTCGGGGGCAGCTACGACTCGGACAGGCTAGGATGGTACGGCAGAGCAACTATATTGGATTTGCGATTTCTTCGTCCTGTATAATTCATGGTGCGACTCAGCTACAGTTAGAGGTGATTCAAACGTTAGTATTCGCTGTACGCTAATAATAATGCAAACCGGTGGCAATATCAACCGATGGGAATGGTGGGGCCATGTTTGGGAAACAAGGTTAGGCGTACTAACTCTAGTAATGGTGCGATTTCAGTTTATTTGTAAATCATACTCTGATGAAATATACTTAGACAGGTGCGACCGATGGTGTTTCAGAGATGACATCTCTGGACGCGGTTGCACCATTTCTCTATGACCGAACTTACGTACCGGCCAATCGTCAAACCTCAAGCTAGCATGACCATTCGGAAAGCTCCATAAGGCAATGCATAGTAAGTAATTTTGGGTGTTAAAAGATGGCGAAGTCTTCAGGTAGGCCATAAAATCCAAACCTGGTAGTTTTAACAGCCCTGCCATCACTGTAGTAGGGCTTATAAAGAAGAAAGGTTGATATTTGACAACCTCACCTTGGCAGAACAAGGCAATTTCACTGGGATGTCGAAAAGCTAGAAGAGCTTCAAACGGTGTAAGGGCAATTGCCAACTCGGGTTTATGATTAGGGTCCTTGTACAGTTCCGGCCGGAGAGCATGCAGTTCTTCGGCCTGTGACTGAAAGAAAATTATTGGAAAGTGCTTTAGAGTAAACGAATATAACGAATGGGATTTGCGTGGTTGATTGTAACAAATACTGGAACTGACGCCGTCCAATGACCTGATTCTCTTTAGCTTCGTTTATTAGGCCTTAATTCTTTCATGTTGTTCAATGCGCAAAGTCTGTGACAAGCCCGGTGAGTCCAGTTCGTAGATAGCGAGGGTTCGTACGCTTAAGTCATTGCCCACAATGCACTTGTTGATAAGCTTGTTTTGCTGAACATTGAGATAGAACAGTAGATTTCATGCTAAGCAAAGGCATAATTTGGTGGCAGAGTTGTAGTGACCTGGAGATTGTCCTGTTTGTCTGTGTGAAATATTAGTGAAACATAATATTCTGTACGTAGACAACTTAGGAGCTTGCCTGTTCGCACGATGATTACGTGTGTTTGAGTCATCTAGACGAATCGCACTCGTGCGCTTTTGGCTTTTCCACCTCGAAGAGCGTTTGCTGCATCTCGGCTGGCGACTATACCTTTCCCCTAGCTAGAACCATTTTGCGGTGCCTTCAGCTAACGGATTGTGCGTTTCGACAATAAACGTCTATCTCGCCCATATATCCGTCCTTTTCCGACTTTTCCCTGAGGCGGGACGAACTTGACATATAGTGACCGAAAGAATAGAATTTGCCTTGATGGCATGGATACTGAAAGCTGAAGATATAAAACCAGAAGATATCCATCAGTGTTGCTCCGTCTATATAATATCGGGCATGAGCGCGGAAGAACCTAATTTCTAACCGCGTGTTCTCAACGCACTTCGGTTGTGCGAAGCCCTATTACTCAGGTGTGATGCACTCTCGAAATCCGTAATCCGCAGAGTGGGTGTCTAGAAATTTCTTGAATTCCGATACAATCATCATCATCATCAATACAGGTTAGTCGATGGTGAGGAACACACCTCAGCTAATGTGCCAATATACAAAAGATATTAAGCAATGGAAAGTTAAAAGCTAGAAAAAACCAACATAATGGTAGTATCACGTTTGTGATCGTTGTTGGAAGGAAAAGACTAAAGAGAAGGGGAGGAGACAAACAGACTCACAACACAAGTGCCATTGAAGTGGACTCTTCGCCATGTCGGCTTGTGTATCCAACCAAAGATGTTCATCTTCCTTTGGTACCCAGCCAGGCGGTCGGTAATTCGGATACTGATTTTGCCCCGACCATTCCCTCGAGCAGCTGTTCTACTCAACGCACGAAGCATGGGAGGCGAGCAATACGCATTAGGTTCGGTACCACAAGCATGTACCGATGCCCACGAGTGCGGCTTGGTGCGTGGACGTGCAGCAGCAACCTCACCAAGGAAGGTATCAGTAGTACGCCGGTGCGCATTACGGACGCCTCGTTGCTGCGCAACCACCAAGTGTCGCGCGTGGGCTAAGGATTTTGCGATGGTCGCCCGGCCCCCTAGGCAGTCTCGAAGAACAAGACAGACTTGTGATTCCTTACGTCACGAGCCGGTGAGTCATTATGAAGTCCACTCGATATGACAGGTGGTATGAGGAACACGCTGACTAAGGTGCCAAGGTTAGTAAAGAAATTGAACTGTTGCGTTGCCGGTGCACAGACCAACAGTCTAAAAATTTACGCGCAAAGGTGTCACGCGTTGTCAACATACGTTATGCGCGACATATCAAAACCATCTTATCGAGAAGTTAACACTGTACGAGTGGAGGAAGACAGACTGGGGGAAAATAGAGGCATCGGAATCGTTGAGAAAAACCATAACTGTGTTAGTGGGCACATTCAAGATGCAAAGGGCAGAGAAGAGCAACAGTGGGATGAGGGAAAAGCAGTATGCCGGAGTAGGTCGATTTTGGATTTGAGTTCGTAGTAGTTAAAAGTTCACCGTATATACTGCGTTGAGGACGGAGGCAGGAATTGACATGCTTGGGTTAAAAATGCCGAATGACATCAAAGGCCGAACGGAACTGTTTACGGATCTACTAAACAAAAGGACTTTACTTGTTTCTCACCGGTTGTCAATAGGCTTAGCGATTGCCCTCAAATGGCCAGTGAGTAATTCCGTGCCATGCTGAAGCACTCAACCGCACTCCATTGTACTAATGGAAGATCAAACAAAATAACACTATTTCCTTCACTGGCACGTAGCCTCCAACATAATTTGTGGGCGCGGGTTCGAGCCAGCGACCGGTGGTGGTTCTGCGGTGGCGAGGCGTCGGTATGGCGTACAGCTGATGCCGGTGGCCGGTGGCCGAGTGGTCTGCACGTTTGCTTTCCGACCATAAGGTCACCGGTTCGAATCCGTGTAGGGGTGGGCGTCCTCGCGGTATACTCAGCCCGCGCGCGACTGGTGGTGGTCGCGCGGCAGCGAAGCGCCGTTACGGCGTATAAGCTGACGCATTTCATTTTCATTTTTCATCCAGTACAAAAAGAAACGCAATCTGGTCAAAATAGTGGGGGACAATAGCGCATATGTAAAACAATGCTCACTATAGACGACCGCGAACAAGTTATATTCAAGCGTAAGGACGACGTCCTGGTTTATGCCAAAGACGGCCAAAGTAGTTGGTAGAGAATTACGAACACGGCACAGACACGGAGCCAGTGGAGCATCTGCACTAAATCTTACGTACAAAACTTCTACTTAAATGTTCCACTGTTTTAGTGCTATTCCGTCTAAGTTCTGTTTTCGAGTACTGGACGTTTATTTCTACCAACAGTAAGCACGTTGTTAGTAGCGTTGTCCTCATGATGAATGGAATCACGGTGTCGTCACTCAGAGCGTACATAATAGGTGACTGAAGTGAGCGTAGTCAAGAGCCGCTACTAGAACGATCAGCCACCGGTACGAAGACAGATTCTTGACGTGTAACAAACGTACCATAACGACACTGGTACTTTACACTAGGTTATTAAATAGATTGATGGGTCACCAATTTTAAAATCTACGAGGAAAATTGACCACGGTGTGGGCTGCTACGCAGATAGTATCGTAAGAGATGGTTTCGAAAGGTTGCAAAACAGTTGTTTTAAGGATTGTATATCAGCAAATAACTGCGCGAACGAAATACAGGGGATGGAAATATCAAGTATGTGGCTGACTGTTCTAACCCTGTCAGTCTGAAGAGCACAGGGGGACGGACATAAGTTAGGGCGGAAAGACGTCGAAGCATTTCCGCTGGAATTAAGAACAGCAAGAATACTAGTGTCCAACATGTGAATGACCCGTTACCAAGATCAACCTGAAAACGTTCCATGCTCATTGTACCTTTAGACTGATCTGAAACTGAAACCACGAATATCTACTGACACCAGTCAATCCTTGCAATCGTCGTCCTAACTTGCTATAAAATCCTATACCAGTTCACATGGCGTGATGAAGCTACTGTGTCAGGGGGCGAAACATAGCCGTTATACAAGCTGATTGGTTTTAAAACCATGCGAAACCACGAATTCCAAGTTGGCTCCAAGTTCAAGTTCAAGTGGGACCGGAACAGTAGGAAGATCCAATGAATGTTCCACCTTCGAAAACGTCGTTGATCCAACAAAGAATCCGGTGTAATGATGTACTAAAGGAGAGCCAAATCAACACACACGATTCACATGGTCAACCAAACAATTTCCACGTAACCTGCACTAACAGTCTCCGCTGTGCCGGCCACGCAAAGAATAAAAGAAAACGACAGGAAACAAGTAAGACGAGTTTATCGAATTTCGTGGACAATAAAAATGAGTTAAAGAAGCGTAGGCTGTAGTAGACAAGTAAAAGCTTAAGGCATGAAGAGGAAGACTTAAAACTGCAGACCGAGAGCATCAAGTCAACCCTCGAACACTTTGACCGTCGGTGACATCATGACGTCTGCAGGCAGTGTGTTCCGATAAGCTATGACCCTACGCGATAACCGAAAAGCTGCCCAAACATGGTCAGACCGGGGTTTGTGAAACTTAATGTGTGGTCAAGAAGGGTTGGCGCTTTAGCTGGGCGAAACAGTCCAGTCAAATCAGGACCAATCTGACCCATCAGTATACGATACGTGAGGACCAAGTCACCCCGAAGCCGCTTGTAATACACGGAAAATATCCAACTTACGTAGCCACTCCGGGTACCTGTTGTGACAAAATGATTGGCCTCGATTCTCGTTTGTCGCCTCATTGAGGAACGAGAATCTCGGATTAAGGAAGAGTAGGCCGGTTTCCGCTCAGGACGTGGATGTATAGACCATATATTCACTTTGCGGCAGGTGCTAGAGCAGCGCCACGCATACCGCAGACCAACAACAGCTTTGTTCCTCGATTTCAAGAGTGCGTTCGATTCAGTCGATCGATCGATTCTGTTCGAAATACTTGAGCGGAAAGGTGTTCTTACGAAAGATGTGAACATCCTTCGTGCTCTATATTCGAACACTACAGGCCGCGTCAGGGTCTACGGTGTCTTATCGGATAGCTTTCCGACCACAAGTAGCGTTCGTCAGATTGTCCGATTGCTCCAATTTTGTTCCATTTCGTCGCTTGCTAACGAGGAACTCGAGGTGGTTGATCAAGTCACTTATCTTGGCAGCTGCATCAGCAACAATGGGCGCATAAAAACTGACGTCAGCTCAAGCATTGCAAAAGCCAGAGCTACCTTCATGAACCTGTGGCATCTTTGGCGACAGAAAAGAATTTCCCTCCGTCTGAAAGGCCATGTATACAAGGCCACAGTGAGGACCGTTCTGCTCTATGGCAGTGAGACTTGGCCCCTTCGGTATGAAGATCTGAGGCGCCTTCAAGTCTTTGATCATCGCTGTCTGCGAAGCATTGTTGATGTCGGACGGCACCAGCGTGACCACAACGACGATGTGCATAGGCGTGCTCGCCTAGGTAGTGATAAGCATGCTAACTTCCTAGAACAACAGCTAGCACTAAATAAGTTGCGTTGGCTCGGGCACATGCTACGTATGCATGGTTACCACTTACCTAGGAGGGCCTTGTTCAGTCTGCCAGGTGTAGGGTGGCGCAAGGCTCGAGGTGGACAGAAGTTGACTTGGCAGCGGGAAATGAAGTCACTGACAACCAAACTGGGTGCCGTTGGTCCGTCTCGCCTTCCGGCCTTGAGTCCAAGTGACTCGCCTTGTGCTTGGCTCGAGACTTTACAGGACATGGCTCGCAGTAGACACCAGTGGCGCGTCTGCTGCCGTCTCCTAATTGGATTGTCTGTTTAAAGTGTGTTTGGTGCTGAGTTAACTGGGGGGTAATGGCTGATTATGAGGCGGGGCAGTGAAATCCGCAAGGAAGCTGTCTCGCCGATGCCGCCTTATCTTTGCACGATAGCCAGCTGTTTGTAACGGTATGTTGTCTACACAAGGTGTAGGCGCCTTGATCCTGAATGTTTGCTTAGGGCATTAAGGTTTTCAGGTAAGTCCCCCTTCTCTCCCTCTTATTCTTTATTTCACAGGTCTTCATGGTTGTATGGCAGCGAAGCATCAGTTCAAATGGCTGATGTACTGCTGTTGATGATGATGACTCCGGGTACCTTAGCTAGTTTAATACGTGCACCATTTTCGTCCCGGACCGCAACACTCGTACAACTGCCATCTTATACCGAACCGGGTATGGAGAACAAGCATGAACGCAGTATTCCAAGTGCAGCTTTACAAAAGCCGAAAATAGTCTAACGAAGATTTCGGTGGTCATGGTGCCGAACGACCTGCGGATCATCCATAACATGTTGAAACCTTTGCAAGTAGCTTTCGTAAGTGTCCACTGGACTTGAAGTCTGATGACAGCAAAACTCCAAGGTCAGATTGGAGTTGAACTCGCGGTACCTCGTTGCCGCGAAGGAAATAACGCGTCTGGAGAGGCGGGGTCATTCGGGCCAACGCGTAAAACTAAACATTTCGCTCAATTAAAAAGGCAACTGCCACAAAATGGACCAGTTCCAAAGCCTATCTAGAGTCCTATGTAGGGTCAGTGGATTAATCGGATCGTTTATTGTGAAGCAGTTATCCGCAAATATTAAGGATGGCACACCCAATTCATCGGGTAGGTCATTAATGTATAAAGTGAAGAGGAAGTTAATTCGAAGATTGATGTAAGTGAATTTACGCAAGATTACAGAGAAAAGTAAGAGCTCCAAGAAACAAAGGGCAGAAAAGCGAGAACAGAGCAGTTCGACGGACGACTCCCCGGGGAAGAACAAGTTATCGGATAAACAATTAGGCCACACAAATGGTCGAAAGTAGGACCAACAAAATCTAACTTTGTAAAATACCAATGTATGCTTAAAGTTCACTACGATGGGAAATTCCTGATGGAGAGTTGACTGTAAAAACCAAAGGCCATTAATACATGCAACTTATTGAACAATACACGTGTTGATGAACATTTCGACACAGCTGCTCACCTTTGATGGATGCACTTGGATGGATAGCGCCTTGCGTATCGAAAGGACCTTGAAGAGAAAGGGAAGGGGAAGGCTGGACTTTTCTGGTAGACCAGCTCCCAAACAGTCCGGAAAATCGGAAATAAATCTTAAAAGGGATGTTTGTCGATGGCTTTCAAGAAAAGACTGTCCAGAAGGATGTGATCCCATCCACAACTTGTATAAAAAGGTCACGGGGTTTCAAAAAATGATTACCTCTGCATAAGGCTTGGAGCAGTCCAACTCCTCGATGCGCCCCTGACTTTCAAGTAGTTGAAATACACCACTACACCTTCCAAGTTTTCCCCACTCATAAGTTTGAAATGCGCAACGGAGCTTCAGCATTATGACAGCGAGTAATGCTCGGAAGGAAAATGAAGGGAACCTGACAGGTAGACGGCAAGACACCGACCCGTCGCGGTTAACAAAAACGCAACTGAGCAACGCGCCTCCACCGACGTTTAAGTCAGGTAATAATAGCAAGTCGATTAAAAGGAAAAAGAGTTCATGAGGTGAGCGGAAAACGTACTCATAAACATTATATTTGGTACATTATTGTAAGTAATGCAAGCAGCTTTAACTTGTTGCAGTACTTGTAAATATGCCATGTCAGGACAAGAGGTTATCTTTAAATCACGGGCTTCAGTGACTCCAAAGGTCCATTGCTATATTATTTTTTGAAAACCAATTATATTATAAGTGTATTATTAAAACATGCATGCTTGTAATTCTGGGTTGGTATGCGTCCGGCCGGGGGTTCCGTAGTCTTCCGATCGACCGAGGGGGCTAATTGTCAAAACAGGTGCTCGTAGGCGGCTGGATTGTGACGTCCCTACTACCTAGTGAGAGGCGAATCTAGGGCTATGAAGTGCTTGTGGTACGCCTCGTGGCGAGCTGGACGGTATTGTCACAGCTACTGATGGAGTATTGGGCTGGCGGTGACTGCATGGATGGCATTCAAACAAGCACGCAACATGGTTGCTCATACAACACATAGGTGAAATAGGAAGTCAAGGAGGCGTGGAAAAGACATTATCAACCTAGGCCAACCTGGATGCCACTTACCTTTTGACTTTCTGCAGCGATACTCTGATGCGCTTCACGGTCATCGTTGGATACTGGACAATTCTTCCACCAGCTGTGGTCAGCAACATAAGCAGAAACTCGGGAAATAAATGCTAAAATTGTGTTCAGCGACCTTTTTTTCTTTTAAATTAGAACATTACAGTTAACTCTGCGTTTTGCAATGGTTGCTCGAAGTTACCTTGACGGACGTTATTTCAGCTAAATTATAAGCAGCACGGCTAGTCCGAATACAGCCTAGTGGTCTGTGGGCTGGACTGCCGGCCTTGCAGCCGTGGTTCGTGTCCTCGGTTCACTGTCTTTCGTACTCGCTCCGGCGGTAAATAGCCTAAAATTGGAGTGACACAGAGTCGTTTGCCATAGCACAGTGCAATGCTGAAGTTCAAAATGGAAAACTATGCAATTATCGCAAGCGGAGGGGTTCTCCTGGTTCCAACGTCATGCTTGCAACGCGAACAATGAACAATGATTTAGCACGGAAAAAGGCAGGTGCTTAGCAAGTCCCGTAGGATGGTTGAGGTGAATACGATGTAAGTAAATTGTATGTGGGTCACTTACAGAACGTCTGTCGAAATGAATACTTTGATAAATAACATCGGCGTAAAATTAAAAATCGAGTATAAACGTTCAGCAATACACTGGGGTGCAGTGGTCGTTGGTATAAGGCTTGCAAAAAGTAAAAGATGGTCTTTTACTTGGGTCCATTTGATACATAACTCCTGTAAAAATCATACTTGGCTACTTTACACTAGAGGAGTTTAGGTACGAAGTGCTGGGAGCTAAGTGCAACATCTAATCGTTTTTTGTAACGTCCAGGTTAGGGGAGGATATAACTGAGTATGGGAGTGCGTTACAGGGTTGGCAAACCAGACAAGAAAAGTACTTCCATCGACACATTAGACGGCTAGGTAGTTCCTTTCGTTTTAAGCAGTTACCCATAAGCCGCCTGTTGTGGATAAGTTGCAGCAAGTGGCAGCAGACGTGGTTAGATTCACTCAATGTTTGATACGCTAAGAGATCACTACGCAGCCTTCGATAACGCCCGCTGAAAATTCGCAGCAACTCCAGCCTTCGATGGTAAGCGTGACAGCGTAGGCCCTTTACATTCTTTGCTGCTCTTCGCTGTGGTGCCTCTAACATCTTTAGCTCGCGCTTCAACCAAGTTTGCCAAGTTTGGATAGCATTTTCAACCTACGGGCGCACGCAGGAATTGTGCAGCATTAGGAAGAGTAATGGGTCGAAGTTCCCGAATGTCATTCGCAGCATACCGACGTGCTGGTTGCCCTTTCGCAGCTACCTCAGTCTGTTTTGAGTAGTTGTGGTGGCTCCGTACTAGCACACTTAGGTCACAGTCCTGGGAGCTGGTCTGCACTCCAGTTGTCCCTAGCATATATGTGTAGTTATGTCTAAGGCGTAATTGTTCAACGTGACAGTTGTTTACGTTGAATGGTAGGTCGTCTTGAAGTGACCAGTTCGACATTATGTTAAGCTCGCACTGGAGCCGTTCGTGGTCGTTCGGCCTTCTGATCCTTCTCCATACCTTGTGATCGTCAGCGAAATCTAGGAGACCGGAAGCAACTGATCTCGCCAAATCATTAAGGAACACCAAGAATAGACTCGGTTCAAGATCCGCGCCTTGTGGTACACCACCCGCCCCATCGATTGCATCAGAAAATGGTTCCCAGACTCTCACCGCTGGCAGTCGTTCTTGTAGAACATTGCTAATGCAACTCGGGATTGGGGCACCAATGCCGTAGTTCCGAAGGTACTGAAGGGGAATTCAATGGTCTAAGCGATCAGACGCTTTTGGAGGACCAGGTAGTTGACATCGACCCCTGTTCTATCAACAACAGCTTCAGTCCAACTATTACGTTCAATTAATAGGTGAATATTACTTGAAGGTTTTTGACGGAAGCCGTGTTGCGCTGGGACTGTTAAGTTGTGGCTTTCTAGGTACTGCATCAGCGCATCTGCGACGATTGTTTCCATCACTTTGGATAGCACGGAAATAGTTTTATTAGATGGTGGTTTATCGGATCAGTGCGACTACCTCCTTTATGGATAGCAGTGATGACCCATCGCTTCCATACTGTGGAATATGGTTCGCTTCTAGACGTCGCTGATAGAAAACAGCCGATGGTTCTGCTAGATAACTAGCTACCATCTGCAGAGTCTTTGGTCGGATGTTGTCGACTCCAGGAGAACTGTAGATACGCAAGGATAACAACGTCTTCAACACAGCTTACGCAGTGAAAGTGATGTTGTATAGATCCGACGCTTGAGTAATGGCAACGAGGAGGATATTTGTGCTCGTTACCTGCTAGAAAGTTTGAGAGTAATGAAGCCGTAGGCGATCAGCTACTTCCATGGCTGATCGCGTGCATCCATCAACTGTGACTAGTGCTAGAATCCTCCGCTTCACCTTTTGAAGGCAGTTAACATGCTTGTACCGAAGTTTGCGGTTCCTGCAGATTCGCCTCATTAACTCCTGCTGATGTGTGAACTTGGCTTCGCAGTTCAGTTACACGCAGAACTTACGATGTGTCACGTATGCAGTCCAGGTTTCGGGATTTGAGCGATCCTCGTGAGCTCGCCATGCCAACGCCGTCAGGGACATGCATTTACGTATTCTGCTCCTCAGAAATGATTATGCTTGTTTTTGATTGGAAGGATTTCTGTTCCGATGCGTGCGCTACCAGTAGGTTAAACATTCTTGTAAAGGTTTCCTAGGCAACATCTTTGGGCATTTAGATAAGGAAGTCCGAAACGCAGCCTTAACAAGCGTAGATAACCCATTATTGTGCGTGACAGTATGCACTTTATCCTCCTGCTTTTCAGGATACTCCACATAGCATATATAGTCAATGAGTAGCGTAACATGGTCAATATGACCTACTGGGGTGATTGTAACTATCCGGTCAACCATGAGTTCTTCGGTACTGAGCAGGAGATCCAGTACCGAGCGCTTGTTAGCAGTTCGAAATTTGGTGGGAGAGGTTACGTGTTTGTACAGAGGGAGGCTAGCAAGTGGCTCTTGCAACCAGGCTTCAACCTGCGTACCGTCGGTTGCTGGCGTTTTTATGTCATGCACGTTAAAGTCCCCATGGCTAAGAAGGTGGCAGTGGGACTAGTTCAAGGCAAATGGAAAGTGGTCGTTCAGTTTGGAGTCAATTTCGACGTTGAGTTTGGTGCGCGGTAAACCACTGCTAGTAGATATGTGTCTCAGACACCCGTGACATTACTGGCCATCGTTCAGATGACTGAGCGCCGTCTGTATTCAATCATTCTTCAATCGGACGGCCAACTCTCAGCGCTCTGCTCTAATTTAGCCTAATCTCATCAGCCAAATACTACGGGACTACTAAGAGACTACCGGGATGCTAGCTGTCTAGGCTCGGTCGATTCAAAGCAGTCTCCCTCACCTCGACAAGCTGCTGGACTTGTCCGCCCTATGTTAATATAACCACTTCTAGCTCTGACCAGTCCAATGCTACTGACTCCACTTATCTTCCCAAATGAACTATACGACCCAGTCACCGTGCTCCGACTAATCCAGTTTCGTCTGATCGGTCTCCTTCTCCCCGATCTCTGTGACGTTGCCGGCCATTGCTCGGAAGATTGAACGCTCTGTCACCATTACCTCGGGAGCCACGTTAACTGTCGCATTTCTTATCCTTAAACGTTTTCTCTCGACTCTGTCCTCTCCTTATCGCGCTGTCTTTATTTCTTCTTCAACCGGAGAGCGAGCTCTCAGTGCCCCGTTCTATTCTCCTCTTTGACTGCTTCCTGACTGGCGAAATGCAGTTTTAGGCTTTGCAACACCAACCCACAACTCGCACATTGTCAGCCTGCATGAATTGCATGCCTTATATTCAAGTAGCCTCGCATCTCAAAGTTGTCCATCCCTGCTGACACTTTATTTATCCTCCAGCCTTAACTGTACGACTTATTCTGAATGTGCACGTTAAGGCAGTCTCGTCTGATCGGTCCCCTGCTCTCCGAATTCTCTCAGACTGCTGTGACCTCACCGACATTTGTTGGGAAGACCGAACGCTCTGTCCCCATTATCCCGTGAGCCCCATGGACTTTTCCACACTTTATAAGCAAACCTCTTTCTATCCGGACCGTCTCCTCTCCTTACGGCGCTCTCTGCTTCATTTCTCCTTTAATCGGACTGCCAACTCTTAGCGCCCTGCAATAACCTAGTCGCACCTACCGGTCTGCTCCTTTGACCTTTTCCAGACCAACAAGATTTATCTATCTAGGCTCTGTAGACTCAAAGCTACGTCTCACTTACGTTGACAGCCTGCTAGACTTGTTCAGCCCTTATTATATGGGCACTCCCATCAGTAACCTGTACACTCAATCCTTCTTCAATCGGACGGCCA